AGCTACGTGTGCGCCGTTACGAAGCTCCTTCGATTGCCAAGCGCTCATGTGCGTGAGGTGCTCTTGGGATTGGCCAGAGGGTACATCTGTGAGGGTTTTGCCTCTCAACCTCAAGGGCAGTGAACGAGAGCTTGTGGGTTCCAGATGATTGGTCATTCATATTGTGTGTGTGTGTATTCCCGCATGCTGCTGGCGCATGAGCTCCTTACGAAATTGGGGGGGGGGGGGTGTCCGCCGAAATCGCGAACGCCTGATTGTCAGAGGTGGTGTTGCCCCACGCTTGCTGGGTGAATCATCCTGTGTCTAGCAAGGCGGCTCGAGATTGCGCTCGAGTTCAAGATCTGCTAGAGTTTTCTACATTCCTGCTGCTGAAAGCGGTGGCTCCGACTTGAGTTTCGACTTAGGTGTCCTGTTAAGAGCGAAGGTTGGCCTAGGTCGGGAGTTCAAGCAAACATCTTCCAGTGGGCCGCCAGTGGGCCATCACTTAGGAATTTCCGCGGAAACATATTGCACGCATTGCGCGTCAATTCTTCAAAGCTCCAGCCTTTCATCAACTCTAACTCTGTCCGACGGTGGCTGCGCTCAGCGAAGAATCATGTTGAATGATTCGCAAAACGGTTTGTGCGGTGGTTGCGAAAAAGGGTGTACGAGCAGCTTGAAGTTGAGACCAAGCTTAGCCGTACATATCGCCCTGGTTCTCGCTGCCGGGTTGATGCTGGCAGTAGCTTACATTTACCTTGGAAACAACCTGTCAGACATCCCGAGTCGATGGGGCGAGCAACGCAGCCTGTGAATGCTGATGGACAGCCCCAAGGGTTGGCGAGTGACGGGCTCGCGGGTCTTCATTGTTTTCTGCCATCTTCAGCAGACGAGCTCAAACACCTGGAGACTCACGAGGGTGTGGCAGCGCGTTGAGCTTCCATTACGTGATACCGCTCATGCCCGCATTGGTTTTAAGCTTCGCCAGGTTCGCAGCTTTCATCGGTCGCTGCTGTATTGCTGCTTCTCTTTGACACGGTGCTGCATAGTGGCGTAGTGGTGAACTCTACAGCTTGCTGGCAGGTGATATCGGTCTTAATCGTGCAAGGCCCGTCCGTCACTCTACTTTCTACTTGGTTGAAGGTTGCTTGTGTAAACCATCGTGCAAGTGAGCCAGTTCTTTGAAGTTGAGGGCTTTGTCAATGTTCGCTCACTCATTGCGACGCGGTGCAGCATTTTGGGACTAGGGACTTCCTGTCTCACCAGCCCATGGACATAATATTGTTGCGAGAACCGAACGTTGGTCTTATGTGCAGGACGCAGTAGCCATGGTCAATAATTTGCACCTGGTTCAACAACAACATGCCTCAGTAGGCCGGCTTGGCCTCAGGCCTCCTCCTGGCGGCTTACGTGAAAGATGCTTGAAAGGAGTTGCCTGAAAGGCGCGTGTGTCCTTAGGGGATCCTTCATTGCTAGCGCCGGCCAGCCGAAGGCCTTCTGCAACGGCTGATGACTCGGGCTTTTTTCACACACAAACCTTGCCTTGCGTAGGAAAAGTCTGAGCGCAGCAGCCTACATGGAAGCATGTGGAAATCATGGTGTGTAGCTAGCGATTGTAACTTGAGCATGTTGACCGCAGCCGGTGTGAACACGCCGTTTGTTCGTAGATATTTGCTCCCTCCCAGCCCTCGCAATGAATTCGGCTCCGTCCGGATTTGGTTGAGATGGAAAGATGCTTGAAAGGAGATGCCTGAAAGGTGCTTGTGTTTATAAGGGACCCTTCGTTGCAAGTGCCGGCTAGCCGAAGGCGTTCTGCAACAGCTGTCCCCCAGCTGATCGCATCTTGCTGCTAGAAAGGCTTAGTGCCGGTGAACGCTGAAGTGCGTTTACGCACAAACCCTCCTGGCGTGGGAAAAGTCGGAGCGCAGCAGCTTACATGATACTGTCTCCGAGCAGGTCTGCGATGTGATGAAGGTGAGCTTGGCCACCGACGAGGAAAATTACCGTGAAGCTTTTCAGAATCATTCCGCGATCCCGTTCGGCTCCGTGACCAGCGATGAAGACCCACCAGCCGGCCTTGCCATCTGATTCTGGAGTGGTGCTGCGCAGAGACAATGCATGGCGCGCAGCAATGAGCGACAACAACAACAACAACGACAGAACAACGAGATGCTTTTGAGAAAGAGCTCGAGCGGCTGGGTTTACCGTACGAGACAAAGGCCCAGGAACAGACCTTCAATAGGGAGTTGGTGGTGGCCGGATCACCGACCACAATGCCAAGGTGCACTCGATCGGCTTTGTAACAACGCATGGCGAGATGCAGAGCTCCGAGACGCCAGGGTACTGGACGAGCCGCGGCCATCTGGCCGTGAATGTCCTGGCCAGTGCTTGGGCGGGGAGATCTACCGAAAGGACCTGACCCAGGAGATCGATGCCGTCCTTCTTGCTTATGGCGAGGACGGCAGCATTCCCAAAGTATGAAGAGGATTGGCGTGATCGTTGCCAAGCCTTGGAGGCCATGTGTCAGACTGGGCTGCCTCTGTGAGTGAATGATGGTGGCCAACCCTGAAGTTGATGTGAGTGAAGATGCACGCTTCTTTCAGCATTTATCCTGATTGACCCGACGGTGCTGTGGAAAGCAGGCAGCCAGCAGGACAAGAAATTCAGTGCATTCTCTGCCACGGTCGACGGCGATGATTTTGAGATCGAGGACCCCAGGCCCTAGTTGACGGTGATTGACGGTGACGTGCTCCAGCTCAAGATCAAGAAGATAAATGAAGGTTCCCTCAAGCTGGTAACATATTACCACGACCAGACGGATGGGCTGGGGCTTGATGGTTACCTCTATGTTGGTTGCCGAGCCCATTCAAAAGGGGCGATGGCGACAGCAAGGACCGCGACTTGTAGCACATAATCCTTGATGCTGTTGTCCAACCAGCCGTTGTGAGCAAGAGGCTGTTCATGTCACGAGGTGTTCCCTACTATTTCCAGAGCGACACTGCAGTGATACCTGTTTATGCTTGCAGTGCCACCGCAAGACCCGTACCGCCCCTAAGCATGTCCCAGGCAGACCGAAGGAAGCCGTTGCTTGAGGCCGGAGTGACTGAAAAGGTGCTTGAGAAGCCTCCGCGTGAATGTCGGCCACCCTACCAGCGTGACTTTGCAAAGGAATTTGCAGAGGCAAGGTGCAAGAGCTGATGCCGTCTGCGGGGTGGACTTCCTGAACGTGTTGATAGATGACGAGTCCGAGTGACTGGAAGTCCCGGAGGTTGCTGAGGATCCGACCGCGCAACCAACGTCGCTTGCATATCCTGCACCGGTCATGGACGGTGGTCAACCTCATGTCTGCTGGCTGTGATGTTGACATGGGTCGTCATTGATCTTGGTGGCTGGAGAGCAGCGACGAGCAGGACAGGTTACCGAGGACAGCCCTCTCCAGCAGGTTCTGGTGCATGCCCGTTGCGATGCTCGGCGGAGTACCTGCCGCCTGATCCCCGAACAAGATGGAAGAGGCACGTGGGACGAGATAGGCGTCGAACAACCACTATCGCCGGCCCCTCTTCGAGCCAAGCGTCGGCGCCGCCTGTGGCTACAAGACGTACCCGCTGTCTTTGACAACCCGCCCGGCCAGGACCCCGCGAAGAGGAGGCAGTGATGCATTCCTTGGGAACCGCCAACTTTGACGAGAACTGTCTGCGACACGAGACTCAGACGGACTGTGGGCGACAGCTCCGAGTACGAACTGGACACCGAAGACGACGAGGAGGAAGAGAAAACCTACTACATGTGCGCAGCGGCCATGTTCTGGGCAGGACCGGAGATAAAAGCTAAAGGATTTGTTCCCGAAGGACCGCGAGAAGTTCTACAAAGTCGATGGCGAAGGAGTGGAACTCGTGGCAGAAGTTCAGTGCAGTCAATGCGGTCATTGGCACAAGGTGGGTGCACACCGACAAGAATGCCAAACCAAGATTGCTCGCGATCTACTTGGCCAAAGTCAAAGGCCCAATTAAAGAAGGACTACCCCTTAGACCTTGGAGGCCAAGAGCAGGATGATGGTTCAATGTTGCCAAGACGAGCAGCAATGCATAAGGTCCGACAGCCCGACAGCGTCGTTATTGTCGTTCAACTTGATTTGCGCTGTGGCTGTCGTGAAAGGCTGGACCATTGCGGCCTGCAGCGCCTCCGTTGCTTACCTGTAAGGTATAAGTCGGTTTTTGATACTGCGACTTTCGAGACCACCACCTCTTGGGATAGGTCCCCACGATGTGCTGCGAAGGGTTCGATTTATTGCACCCGTGCTGCCTTTATTGCACATTCAGGAAGCACGAACGTTTTTCCTGGCCAATACCGGCGGCTTTTTGGAGGGCATGAAGAGTTCAGGTTTTGTGGCAAGAACATCCTTGAAACCGGATGGTGGTATATAGGTGGACCAATGTGTTGCCATCGAAGATATCGACTACATGGTTTTGGAGAGCGCTCGCGGAGGCAGAGAAGTCTGCTTTTCGTGTAGTCTTGAACAGACGCTTGAAAGACCCTTTCAAGGATGCCGGCCAAGCCCAAATGACATTTTTGGCTGGTCCAAGCCAAGTACAACCAATACAACATCAAAACGTCCGCAGCGGCATGCGAACACAACGGCAGTTACCTTTTCCCCTAAAGGGCGCCCTGTCATGGAGCCGTGCAACTTGTCAAGGGGAGCAAAGCTTGCCTCCGAAGCTACAGCCACAAAGGTGTTTTCCCACCAGTCTTCTGAGTTTCTTGTGGCGCGCCGTTCAGGGCCGAAGGCAAGGGTTTTTTTTCGCATCCCAATTTTTGTGAGAACATCAGCCAGCATCCTGGACGTCACCCAGGACTAGAAAAAACACCGCAGATGAACAACGTTCAAAATCCCATACTTGTCCTTTCATGGTTGCTTGGAGCATCAAAATATTTGTTATCGCTTTGATGAGTCCCAGAGAAAGATTTTTCAGATTTTTCGCGTCGCTGCAGCATCTGGGTTGTGGGAAAGGCCTTTTAGATTCATGTGTCCACGTGTTGTGGTGATCCTGATATTCTTGTGTCATGGCGGCGAAGGTGTGCAGAATCGATCGGAACTGGATGCTCGGTGCGAGGTATTGCTCGGAGAGGAAACCACGACCACCACCACCATGTGGTTTGCCACACCATCATACAGGCGTACTTTGGAGTTGCACCCAATCCTCCTTGATGCAATCTGGAAGGATGGCAGGACAATGGCAGCAGAATTTCAGTCATGGTTGCAAGTTCGGGTGATCGGCATCTTTTGCGGAATTACCATTGGGCTGCCTATTTTGGTGGTTGCCGGGTACAGATATTCGAACTGCTTTCGCAGGTGGTTGCTTGGCTTAACTTGTGCGGGGTCGCAACTGATTTTGATAGCTAGTCACTAGTCCAAGGAAGCTTCTGTATTCAGGTTCTGCGTGCTTTGAACAACTGAGGACATCTTGCTTGGATTCCATCTTTCAGTATCGACTTTGTGTTGCTGCCCTTGCGTTCTTGCTATTGATAACAATATTGGTGTCGGCATTCCTTGGGATGCGAATCGTGGACGGCACACAGCCTCTCATGGAAGATGTGCAGGACGTTTGCATGTACTAACCACAAATAACCGCGTGGCGCATGAATCCATCTTATGTTCGCTGCTGCAGGAGTACTATCTTAGCTCGATGACCGGCAGGTGCCGATTTAGTGGGTAGCGTGTGTGAATGACATGCTTTGCTTTGTTCATGTTTGGTTACGGCGTTCTTCACTGAAACATCGCTGGCCTTGGCTGACAGCTCCCCTCAGCTCGCCTCCTTGATTGGTTGTGCTGCTCACGAAGACAAGTTCAAGTTCAGGGCTACAAACTGTTAAGGGAACGTGTTCTTCATTAGTGCCTACTTGTCAGGCAGGCCACCAGATTCTGACGCTGAAATACGAACGCTGTCAAGGACACATCTCAGGGCCTCAGGCAATCTCGGGCACATCATTCGCGTGCCACTGGTTTCCAGGCATCACGAGGCAACCTTGTATTCCACGACTCGGCAAATGCCGAGGCCAGAAGCTGGTGCGAGCATCTTACAGACGTGGTAAGTGGTAGCAGTGCCAAAAACTGGGGTTGATTTACCGGGTTGTTTTCTCGTTCGCACCTTCACTGCCAAGGCTTCTCGTACAGCAATGATTCCATTGATCGCATCCACCGCTGCTTGAGAAGCTGCAACCTCCGATCTTGTTCGTTGTCTTCGCCCTGCGCACCTTACCGCCCGCCAGGTAGGTGTGTCTTAGCCGGCCAGCCAAACGTCGGTTGCGGTTTGGAAGCTCGCCTCGCCGCCTCGACCCCTCGCGGCCGAAGGAAGATGCTGAAGTGGAATGTGCGCTCTGAGGCTCAGGCTCGAACTTCGAACACAAGCCTCCGATCAACGAGCTTGTAAAACGAAAGACAGTACCGAGACGGATTCCTCGTTGCCGGGCTCTGGGTATGTGAAGTAGTCGGAGTCGGACTTGGCGTTGCCGCATTCTCTGCTGGTTTCGCTAAATGGTCATCATTTTCAGATCGCCAGACACCTCCCGGAAAAACGTGCAGTTCCCGTGTATACAGCCAACTCTCGCAAACATCCACCAGTAGAATAATTTAGTTTTGACGCACAAATGCCTGCGTGGACCACAGCGCAACAACACCAAAATATATATATATATATATATATATATATATGTATATATATATATATATATATACACACATACATACATACATACATACATACATATATATATATATATATATATATATGTATATGTATGTATATATATATATATATATATATGTATGTATATCTACCAGTCCAAACCATGCATACCGGTTTTGGCGGCGCATCCACGAGCCCCAGCACAACGCAGCCAACGGCACGCACAGAGGCGTGAGCGCTTTCCCCGCAGTACGCACGGCGATGCGAGCTGGCCGCCCCATCCGCGGGGCTGATGCACGGGATGGGGTCAGTGTAGCCGCCGCTTGCAGACATAAAGCTGCATGCTGCGCCGAGCGCTCGCGGAGGGCGCAAAGACTGCATGGTCGTCTTCGCAGCTGAGATACTGGCGGAAGGTGGAGTGAGGAGTGCCAGCGGTTCCTCCAATGCCTCCGATTCAGGGCCCGGGGTCGGCTGGGCTGCGCGGAGTGTGCTGTTGCGCTGCAACGAGCCATTCCGCTCGGCGACGTCCTGGGACCCTTCTTCTCCAGGACCTGGTCAGTGCGAACGCAAGTGTAGGAAAAGAAACCTCCCGGGTTGGCGCGGGCGTCGATCATCGGTGTGTTCATTGCCGTGTAATTCTTGCAGAACGAGCCCAGCGGGTCCATCGCGGCCGTCGCCACAACCTGAAGCGCAGGAGTTGTTTTTGACAATGACAATAGCCGACAATAGCCCATCATAGCCATCTACGTACCAGGTTAGCGTTGCATTCGAGATTTCACATGCGTAGCATTTGTCGTTTGACTGCTTGGAGATTAGTCTATTGCGTGCTGAAAAGCAGCACGGTTCATGCCGACAAGATGATCTTAAAGTGAATTTATCATCGGATTTGCAAGCCCTTCGCTTCGAACGATGCAACGCGAGGTATCAAAATGCCCGTAAACGTTTGAGCTTGCGCATTTTCAGAAATCATCGGGCAGAAGTTCGAGCATGGACTGCTCGGACGAACACTTTCACGGCTGCTGGCAAATTACTTCGTCTCGTCGGCGCGGTGTAGCTATCCTTCGCAGGCGTGTGAATGGGAAGCAGATGGTACAACAACCTGAACCGAATGAGTGACGACATGCGTCTTGTGGCGGAGCTCCTTTCAAATGCACCACCTTTGGCCTTGTGTTTTAATTCATTACGTGTTCTGTTTGGCCGTGTCGACATACCGAATGGCTGGCATAATACATTGTTCACCGTAATTGTCAAGCTTGCTAAACAGCAAGCCCACGCCATCCCCGAAGTGGGATTGTAGTTCGCTCGCGGGGGCAACATCAGCAACCATGTCGCCCTCAAGTCTTCGGCAGATGCTAGTTGCGGTGAAGCTGTCGCCACCAGATGGAGGCGGCGCGACACGTACCCCAAGCTCAGACGGTGCCGTGTCGTCGTTGCAGGTTCGGTGCTGAGGCAGATCGCCTGGCGCACCAGCGTGCTGAAACCTCTGTTGCCTATCGCTGTCCCTTGGCCATCAACGCCTGGGTCGCCCTGGGTTCGGTAGCTTACCTGAACTGAGCTCCACCGATTCACCGAGCAAAGAACGAATGGCAATTCCGAGTGAAGTTGTTAGGTGTGTGGACAATGCCAGCTTGCTGTTCGGGGTATTTTGATCTTTGACATCGTAAGTAGCCTCTGCGGTATGAGACCGTCATTTCCATGAATGCACGCAGGGGGATATGCGAACCGTAGCATCTACGAGGTCCAGGCATTACGTAGTTTTTTCATTCGTATCGAGTGTCGTTGTGTTATTGCTTTTTCTGGTCGATGCGCTCTTGTACCAGCAAACTACTCAACGCATTCGCCTGCGAGCTCTAGCTCTTGTAGCAGCACACCGCATCTCAGTGCAGTGAGGGTGCGCAGGGAAATCACACAGGCAGACCGTGCATGCATTTGTTGGAAACGTGCGGGCGGCGACGGCGCGTCATTGCCTAGCAACGACGATGATGTGGAAGGTGCCGCAGCGGGCGTGCTCAAGCGGGGGGAATCAGGCACAGTAACCGCGCTGATAAATGCAGCATGGAGCCTATTCGTGCCGGGTGTGGCTTCTCCAGGCGACTAGTTGGGGGGCGTTTCCGCCATGCGTGGGGGACCTATAACCCACAAGCAAAGACAGCAAACAAAACTCAGCTTACCCGCATGGTCCACGGTTTCAAGATGTTCCAATGCAAGTGCCAGGCGAAGGGAATGAAGAGCGGAGCCAGGCTGTCGCGCACTGGGACCGGGTGTAAGTCCCTGAAAAATCCGGTGGGGAAAAATCATATGGGAGTGCAGCCGCGGCTGGGTTTGCTGCCGCGGATCCCCTCCAGAAGTTCTCCCCGCTCTGGCCAAAGCGTCCCACTCGCCCGCAAGCAGCTCGTCCTCGTCTTCGTCCTCGTTTCAACCGTTTCTCCGTCAATGACACCAAAAAGCGTCACCGGCGCACACCTGCTGCGATATTTCCGCGCATGACTTCTATGAACAGGAACTGTACGTACCGATTCTGGTTTTTCGAAGTGACTGACTGAGATCCAATCATGCTTGCTGTAGTTTGCTCTCTGACGACGCCTGGCTCTGAAGCAAACGGGTCCGAGCCCGTGGCATCGCGGATGAGACGCAACCGAGATCGGAGCGTGCAGCGGAGTTGAAATTTGCAGAAAACTGCCAGAGTGTGGAACACATTGCAAGGCTGCAATATGCCGCAGCAGCTAAAGCCTCCCGCCGTGAGACCGACGCTGCCTCGGCCGCCCCGCTGGGCTCGCCGTCTTCACCACCCGTGCGACTCTTCGGAGTTCTCATGATAGGAAAATAATGGGTTTCCCATTGGAAGTATAGCAACAGCATGTAGCAGCCTTAAAGAGGAGGACGCAGCCTCGGCGAATCGGCGGTGCGAGAGAAAACTGAAAAAGGAGGAACCTAGGAGAGCTCCTGGGGGGCCAGGCTGTTTCCTTCGATCAAAGCTTCTTTTGCCATTTGTTAAGGTTTAGGGTTTGTAGGCTCTTGGATTAAGGTTAAGCGTGGAGGGTTACGGAGTTTAGGGTTTACGGGTTCAAGGTTTAGGCGTAGGGCAGGCGGGGTTTAAGCAAAGTTTAAGGCTCATGGTTGCAAGGTTTAAGGCCTAAACTCGCACTGATTGCAGAAATAGCAATGGCCCGGAGCCCTTGATCGAACGAAACAGCCTCCTGGGCCCCGCAAGTGTTCCCCCAGGAGTTCTCCTTGCTTACAGGGCTGCTATTATGTTTCGTCTTGAAATGTATTATTCTTTTTTATCCAGTGAAGATCCGGTAGCTTCATGTGTAAGGTTGCTACGTACAAGCGGCAGGGGGGTGGCAGCAGGATTCAAACGAGCAGATGCTTGTAGGCGCACCGGGGGAGCTGAGCAGATGCCGGCCACACGACGAAATGCCGTAGTTCCACGATTTGCCATTGCATGCACAGATCTGCGGAGCCAAGCCTGCCTATTTCTCCACCGAGAACATCCGAGAACCCCTGCTGAAATTTCACGGAACCTTCGCCCCCCTATAGGTTGTGTTATATTTCATGCCGGTGGCTGGAACGGATTCAAGATTATAAGTGGAGAGGACGACTTTGGACCCCTCCCCCAACAAAAGGGTATTGATCGCGCACGAACCTTTTATTGCAACAGCAAACTATCGGACCCAAGCGGCTCGGGGTGGGGGGGGCTACGTCGTGCAGTAAGGTCCCCCGCCCCCCCCGACCAAAAGTTTTGGCTTGAATAGTTTGGTCGCTGATCTACGGGTCTGGGTGGCTTGGATATTTTTTTAAACATTTTTTTACCAGCGTTCCAAGCTTGGCAGTGCCCGTGCAGACCCAAGTTTAGGCCGGCTGCGCTACGGCGTCCAAGGCATGCGGCTTGCAAGGGGCTGCTCAAGGGAGGAGTCTGCGAGGATGTCGCTCAGCGGGGCTGCGCGACTGCGCGGTCGGGGTTTCGGGATCACCAAAAGCTCGAAACTAAGCTCCGATCACTCCCAGATAACTACCAAGAAGGAAAACACTTCATTTTGAACATGTTTGCCTCCAACCAACACTCCCCTCCACCACGACCACGTCTGATGTTTCGTGATCGTAGCATAGAGAACGTACCGTAATAGTACAGCAGTCGTGCAGTAGTAGAGTAGTAGTAGTAGTACCGCAGTGGTCCCGTAGTTGGACAGCAGTAGTACAGTATATTACAATAGTAGCACAGTACTTGGGTCCGAGGCTATCTCGTATCACTTGGGTGTTCTACGCATCTGCAAGGTGTATTCTTCGGGAACGCATTACAGACGACACATCATAGTATCATGCATCTGCACTTTCTTATTCTTTGGCGTCTACAGCAGGTGCTCGCATCTGTCAGTCTCAGTACGCGCGCCTGTGTTCGTACCAGTATATGGTTGTGTATTGTAGACCATGTATACATCTTGGAAGAAGAAAACTGCACATTATGAACCGTGCATCATTGAAAAACCCGTAGGATAGCTACCGTTTGCTTCTGAAACCTGCGTCCGCATGGTGTTGAGCTAGTTCTGACGTGCAGTGGAGTGTCAGCGCGCTCCTCGCCTGCTTTCAGACACGACTATTGCCCTGGCTAAACTGGACTTGGGCACGTGCCCATGCGGCGTCGCTGAGGGTGGTGTGGAGAGGCACGACTCGCTCGGGCGAGAACACGATGTATGTGTCGTCCAAGAACGCGACAACGGCCTCACCTAGAGTGAGAGCGGCAGGGACATCAGCAAGCGCAGCGTGCTGGGCGAGGCATTGCCAGATGGCGTCTTCATGCACCGCGCATAGCCAGCGGAAAAGTGGGGTGGCAGGGTGCGCAGCAAGTGGTCGGCACGCGGCGAGGCACACATGGCCAGCAAAAGCCACGCACACGCAGGTGAGGCAGCATGGGGAGTTCATGCAGGAGCCGGGCCGCTTCAAGCAAGCGAGCATCTGTGTGGGCGGCGCCGTAAACGCGGATGCTCCATGGGGAACCCAGTGCGTTTTCCGCGGTGCTCTCGGTACTGCCTCCTCCTGGGCACATGAGGTTTCGAGCGGTCTGAGCAATGCGGGTATATCTTTGCCTGCTGCTGCCGGAGTCGTTCCATGGCTGTGATTATCGGGCATTTGCTCGTCCATACCCACGGACAGGTCCACCGGTCCACCTCGCTGCCGCCAGAGGTCATGCAAATCGCTCTTCGCAGACGCAGCTGTTTGCTTCTGCCTCTGGGCGCCGAAAACGGCTAGACCCATGGGGCGACCAGGCCCTCGCCTGCACACGCAGTGGCCTTTTTTTTTTTTCACGCACCTTTTTGACGGCTGCTAAACGAGACGTCCGGGTCCCTGTGCTACCTGCGCACTACGGGTGAAGGCGGTGTTTCCACTGTAAACTACGCGGCGGCTTGTCGGCCCGACTGGAACAGCAACAGTGCCACGTGAGCCGGTTCCAAGGTGCATGGGCAGTGGCACTCCACTGCGCGACTGCCCCATGTTTCTGCACTGGAGGAAAAAGTGGTTGAATTGTTGGCAAACCCTAGGCTTCATTGACCAGAACACCCGCGCCTCCATCTGTGCGCATATGTCTGTTGTGGTCAGCATATGCCAAGCTCAAAGATCGTTGTTTCAAGGCTTAGAGCTTTCAGGACTCGTGCTGCGTTCGCTTTTTGGGGAATTGGTAGTGTACTACTATTGTACTAACTACTACTATTACTGCTACTACTACTACGACGACGACGACGATGACGACGACGACGACGACTACGACTACGACGACGACGACGACGACTACTACTACTATCACTACTACTACTACTACTACTACTACTACTACTACTACTACTACTACTACTACTACTACTACTACTACTACTACTACTAGTACGACGACGACGACAACGACAACAACAACAACAACGACAACAACAACAACAACAGCTATTACTACTACTACTACTACTACTACTACTACTACTACTACTACTACTACCACTACTACTACTATTACTACTATTGTGCGACTGTTGTACTATTGTACAACTATACTATTGTTCAACTACGGTACTACCAGTGTACTATTACGGTACTACTGCACGACTACTGTACTACTGTACTATTGCTGTCCCACACCAGGCCTCAGACGTGGTCGATTGTGGGGGGGGTGTAGGTTGGAGGCAAATGTGTTCAACATGAAGAGCTTTTAGTCTTGGTAGTTTTGTTGGTGTGATCGGTGTTTTCGTTTCCAACTTGGGCCATTTCACATCAGTCGGTGAGAATACCCGTCAATGCCGGCAAGAGCTGGTTTGGGGAGCCTCCCAACATGTCCGCCATCCAGCCCCAACCGGGCGGCGTCGGAACGTGGAGCTCACCGCCAGCAAGCACGCCCTCTAGGGTCCGCAGTCTTCGGGCGACAGCAATTGCCGGAAAAACACCGCCAGCAACAGACCTTGCTGCAGCGCATCCCGGCCCTAGCCGACTTGCAGTCGGCCTGGCTTCCAAGCACACACACAAGCACACACACACAAGCACACACACAAGCACACACAAGCACACACAAGCGCTTGGTCACAATATTGATGGCCTCTGCTGGCTTTCGGTGGCCGCACTGACCCAAGAAGCCCGCATGTTGCTTTCACCAACCACCTGTCAGGTTGATCAACGAATTCATCTTGGAATCTTACAGGTTCAGCGAATTGGGAATAGCTGGCGCGGGGTGGCTCGGCTGCACACGTGGATCACATGGTCCAGGTGCCGGTGCAACTTGTGATTGCACATGGTGAACTGCACCCAAGGACGAAGCAAATACTTGCAAGCCAGCTTTGCAACCCGACAGATGCACCGTACAAGATACAGCGGCTTGACGTGGATGCTCGTCTGCAGGACGAAAGTTTTATGGAAGGCAGCTTGCGCGATGAAGTGTTGGTTCCGCCATCTTCCGTGGCTGGCATGGTGTTGGAGTATATTGTGGTCAGAAATTGGCAGCCACTGGTGGCCACCGGGCTTGGGGTTGTGATTAACAGTGCGATGGGCAACATGGTTTCGACTCACCGCGCGACAATGCAGGCCAAACCGGAGCGCTATCAGTGATCAAGACAATTGCCATTGTCCATGCATGTGATGCCCTTGCAGGTTTCTTTCATCGTTCGAACCGTTTGTATGGTTCGCAACACTGATGTGCATCTGGGGATTCGTGCGAATTTCCCGTTCCTTTTGGCGAAGTTGCCCGAGGCATGGGTTGCCCAAAATAGTGCGGTTCAACATGATATGGCCCCTTTTGCGACGACACACATATGTAGAAGAGAAAAGGCACACGGGATTACAGCTTCCTTCAGCTGCTGTGTTGCCACATGCTGGCTCGGGTTGTGCCAAAACGTACCAAGAAAGGTAGTTGTCGTGCTCGCCTGATGCTTGCAGATAACCAAGCATGTCATTGGGAGGTGTGGAGATGGAACGAGACGTATTACAGGGACAAATATGAAATGCAGTCTATGTTGTACGAAGCGGCTCTGTTGCAGCGAGAGGGTCGAGTCTTCAAGAGTTTGGTGTCTAATTGGACACGTTAAAAATCGATCCTTGCAATTGCCAGGCTGTGCTGGCAGGCGCTGCGCAAGAGGCAGAGCAAAGGCAGTTGCGATTACTGGAGTGGGAACTTGCCCTGTGCATTTAGGTTGTGTGCAAGACACCAGTGCATGTTTGTGAACCATGACACCCCATCCCACAACTCAGGATTCGCTGGACGTTGGAGGGGAGCTGATGATATGGGTCTACGGGGTCGTGATTTGCTGTAGCGAGAACCAGCCGCGGTTATGCAACACAAACACACACGCACGCACACAAACAGACAGACAGACAAAGCTTGTAAGTCAACGTTGCCGTCCTGTTGCCGTCCGGCAGCTGCACTGAGGCAGCTTTCGTGATCTCACTGTTCATGCTGATGTTGCTGCTTGGTCGCACTTCATTTGCGGGCGTATGCGGGCGTACGTGGGTGTGGGCCTGGGCCTGGGGCATCGGCGTGGGGCGTGGGGCGTGGGGCGTGGGCGTGGGGCGTGGGGGGTGGGGCGTGGGGCGTGGGTGTTGGTGTGGGCGTGGGTGGGGATGGGTGTGGGGGTGGGGGCATGAGGGTGAGGGGGTGGGTGGGGGGTGAGGGGTAGGGTGCGTGTGTGTGTGTGTGTGTGTGTGTGTGTGTGTGTGTGTGTGTGTGTGTGTGTGTGTGTGTGTGTGTGTGTGTGTGTGTGTCATTTCTGTACCAAGGGGCTAAGTAACTTCGCAGGGGGCCCAAGGGCTACTGGATGGCGTGGGCCAACGAAGACTCATCCAGTATGTTGTGTAAACGTACTTGCGAAGAGTTTCTCATGGGTCAGTGACTGGCAGCTTGGGAACTCAACTAACTTCCAGCATCTGCTTCGCGACAGAAACCAGGCCCCCCCATCCCCTTCCTATTACAAGAGTTCTGCATGTCACTAGATGAGCCTTGAGACCAGTCGTCGAGACAAAGACCCGACGGCACAAATAGACCATGAGGTTTACAGCAAATGTGTTCCAGTATGGTTTTCCCTCGTGGGCGCCAGCTGAGTGGAAGGTTGCTTCCACGAAACCGAGTTTACATGCTTTGCCCGAAGCTGGTGACTGTACTGACTTTGGAGCAACGGAAAGATTGTGGAGGCTGGTTTACTGTGAAGCCCAGAGTTAGTTTTCTGAATACTTCGTATGATCATTGCAGTCGTGTTAATCTGTAACCACCGAAGGGCTTCAACACTTGGCATCCCCGGCGTCTTTTGCACAGGCCGACTTCCGCAAGGCATTTGGTCCGAGTGAAAAGACGTGCCTCATGGAGGCAGGGCCCATTGGCTGTAGCCGGGGTTCGTGTTTTTGGGTAGCTTTCCCTTTAGTGTCAAATTGGTAGCGGAGCCTTAGCGTGCCCCAGTAGTCCTTCGGTTGTAGCAGCGCCATGCCGGGCGCGACTGAGACGGCTGATGTTCAGCCACCCCAAGCAGCAGGAGATGGTGAACCAGTTGCGTCTGAGCAGGGAGCCTCTGAACATGCGGAGAGGCTCTCGAACGATGATGAGTGGGACTATGGAAACCACTCGCAGTGGGGTTCGTGGTGGGACTCCTGGGACGGCTGGGGCTGGGGCTGGTCCTGGGATAGACCCTGGCACGAGAGCAACTACGGCCGGAGGGCGAGTTGGGCTACTTCACGCGAGAGCTACGGCACGGATACCTCGACTCGCCAAGGGAGACCGTGGGGAAGCGGTCTAGAGTTTAGACGACGACAGCTGGGCAAGTGACCGAGGAAGCGACGGACGTCGAGAAGAACCTCGAGACCCACGAGCGCGACACGGCGATCAGGAAGGCGTATGGCGTGATCCCTGGGCAGATGGTCGAGCTCGCGGTGCGGCGTGGCACGATTCTCCGGGAGCCGATCAAGTTCACGATGCTGGGGGACAACCGCGTCAAAGCGATCCATTGTGGAGTGGGTGGAAGCACTTCGGCACCGACACAGGCGGACAACATGGACAAGGAGATCCTGGAGGCTGGAAGGGCGGTCAACCAAGACCGTCGGAAAAGCTTTCAGTGCCGGTGTTCAGCGGAGTCCCAAAGGCTCCAAAGTATCGTCATGGCCAATACTTTCGTTTTGGGTGAGTGCTGGGCTAATTCTGCCAAGCGGCGTTGCGTCTGGGGTCTAAATGTCGTCTGTGCCAAATGTGGCATCTCTGCAACTTTTGGGAAGAGTCTATTGACGAAGAAGTATGCCATGCTACTTAAGAATACCGCCGGCCCTCATACCGCAATATACTGTGCTATAATTATGACCATTCCCGACAGCTGGAGAGGAGAGAGAGCACAAAAGGACACAGACACAAACACACCAAACACACGTTGTACACCAAACACGACTGAAACACCCACCCTCCCCACCCACATGCACATAAATATAAATATAAATATATGTATATATATATATGTATATAAATAAATATACCCTTCCAAAGAAACACCTACACCCACCCACCCACATGTACATGTACAGACAAAGACATATAACACACACCCACACACACACATATAACAACACACACACAAACACAACACACAGAAACTCACACCCACACCTATACACACCGACACATGTATTAGTACTAATATCACATGTACATATACATATATACACTGCTCGCTGCTCGTTGCAGCTCAGATTCGCCGCTGGGCATGCATTAAGGGCTTTCGGGTATTATAATATAGTGTTTGGGTTTGGGGCTTTAAGGAGTGATGCAAAGTGCCGCTCAAATGCAAGCTTCGATTCAGAATCTTAATGCAAAGCCTTAATATATTAAACCCAGCACCCTAAACTAAAGCACCGAAACCCCTAAACCCCAACACCCCCAACACCCTAAAACCCAAAACCCTAGCCAGGGTTTGCGGGGTTTGGGTCTGCTGCCGGTCAGCGATCGCGATATTTCCCCCGCTCTGCGTGCGAACTCCACGTCTTGCGATTAGCAGGGCCCATATGCCAGCTAGCGGTTATCTGATCGAGCTCGCAGGCTAGGATTACCGTACCGTGTAGCGGTGCTTAATACCCATAGCCTATGGCTTATGGCCCCGTTTGCAAAGCAACTCAGCAGCTCAGTCCACGGAAGTTTGCAGCCTCGGCTGCTTCATATTCTCGAAGGCCTGCATCCCTGAATCGAAACATGCAAATTGAGGCAAGGCACCATAGATAAAATCGTCGCAACGTGGATTTCTCGAGGCTGCGTGTGTGCACCGAGCTTGCTATGCCTGGGATCCCATATAGTGCGAGTACTAGGTGGAGCACAGTAGCACAAGTAGTGGTACTATAGTAGTAGATATATAGTAGCAGCAGCAGTAGGAGCCGAGGAGGTGGTGGTAGTCGTAGGTGGCGGTGGTGGTACCATGGGTGGTGGCGGTGGTACTAGCGTACTATAGCTAGTGCATGGTACTATACTAGTACTAAGTACTTCTCGTGATAGTAGTACTTATATGTAGCGGCATCCGGTACTACTATAGCCGTAGCTTATAGTACCTAGCTAGTGGTACTAGTGGTACGTAGTTGTAAAACGTTATTAATGCCAAGCTTCCAACCAGTCGACCGTTGAAGTCCTCGCTCGCGAACGTGTGGTAGTGCCGATAGTTGTATTTTTCGACGGAGCAGAAACGGATGAGCTCGAGGATACCCTTGGCCCGGGGGTCGTGGCTAGCTGCACATTTAATTAGGGTTTTAAAAAGGATTTATTATAGCTAGGCCTAGCAATCGGGTGGGCTTGCCTGCTTGCTAATTACGGATTTTTTCGAACTCGCGTTGGGGGGCTCGGGATTTAATATGGTTTAAAGAAAGCCCTTAGAGAAAACCATAATTATCTTTATTGATGCAAGCGGCATGAAGCTTGGGGCGGATCTGAAAAAGTGGCTTCGAGGATGAGCTATACATCTTCGCGAGCCAGCCGTATGCGTTCATGAACATATCCTTGGAAGTCCAGCAAGCCCCCCAAATATTTACACATATGTGTACTACAAATTAAAATAACCCAAGCCCAATATATGTAGCCATATATAGCTAGGAACCGTGCAGTGCCGCATTCGCTGGATCTCCGCGTCCGTAAGGTATCGGCCGGCCTGCTCGGAGCAGTTCATCAAATCTGCCAGGTAGAACCTGGCTGTCTTGGGAATCTAGGGCCCGGATTTAGTTGAAGGCTTTTATAATTAAGGCTTCTTAATTTAATTAGGGTTCAGGGTTTAGAGCAAGGTTTAGGGCTTGCTTGGTTTCTGAGCAACATGCATTGGCCCATAAGCCGCATTGAGCGATCACCGGCATGTTCATCTTCGTAGAGCAGCATCGTCGTCCGGTGAGCCAGCCAGCTTGTAATAACCCTCGCCTCGATACATATACCCGGCATCATGGATGCATATTGTCGTCTATTTGCAGCTAGCGGCGTTATAAGCTTTAGCCGCCATCTCGAGCTCGCCGGCTTTGTACCGGAGGAACTTGGAAGTAAACTTCGGCTGAGAATGCCTGAGATTATTCTTCAGTCTGGGTATTTATATACTGTTCGGAAAGGTATATATCAGCAAGGGCTCAGAACCTTTCGATCGTTACACCACGAACAAAAGTCGCGGTAAGCACTGGCCAGCATGGCATTCACATCGTCGCCAGCCCAAATCCCCTGCTACATGGTACATATTGTAGACACAGATTACTTAAGGTTTAGGCTTTGGGGTGTAGGCTTTGGGGCTTGGCGGGTGTGGTTTTGGAATTGTGCCTTCTGCATCAGTAGGTCGATGCACCCGGCACCAGCCCACAGCATAATCCCAAGATTTACTGTGTGTAGGGAGCACCAGCGAAGCATCGTGGGCCTCCATCCAAGGATCTCCGGGATGACACCTGCGTGCAAACATTGGTTTTTGCTTCGAGCCTGGACAAGCAATTAAACTAGTTTGTGATTGCGGGCTTCTACGGGGCAATTTATAATTGTAAGATGTAACACTTTCGGATTTCAATCCAGCGGCTCGTCCTTCCATCATTATCCACCAAGCTAGTGCAGGCCTCGGCAAAGTTCTCGGGTGTCCGCCTGGGCATACTTTCCATTGTTGACATTCGAGGGTCATCGAAGAAAGAGTCCAGACGGGCGTGGCAGTGGTGGCAGACGGCGTTGCTGCTCCATCCGATTTTTTTTTAACCCGAGCCATTCCTAGGTAGCGACTACAAAACACCCAGAAAGAGAGAGAGAGAGAGAGAGAGAGAGAGAGAGAGAGAGAGCGGGAGCGAGAACAGCAAAATCGGCTTCGGGGTCTAGGGTCTAGAGCAGATATCATGATGAATCGAAACCGGTTCCGATACAATTCATACCCGCCAAGTCTCTTTGTAAAACTTCCAGTCTGCCCTTAGCTCGGTAAGAGCGGCCAGCGGTGGCTCCATGTCGGGCTCGCAGACCTCTCCTCGGAACAAAATGTTCAAGGAGTCGACCACCTCAGCACAGGAACATATCGTTCAGGTTTCGGTTGGGGGTTGGACGTGCATGCCATCGGAATTTATTTGGGTCCAAGCGACAGGCCTCATAAAGGCCTGAATGGTCGAAAACCCGGTCGACAAAGACTGCCAGGGATGATATCTGACATGTACAAGGCTAGATAGGGTGGGTTTAGCTTATTTAGAGGGTGTTACTATGTCGGATTTCACACCTCCCTCAGGATCCACAAGGGGAAGTGCGTGGTCATCGAATGCGTCCGCTCATCTAACACCAGGCCTAGACTCACCTGGGTGCGTTTCTCTTCATTTGTCCATTTCACATCATCGGCATAGAGATAGACTGGCAAATGTTTGCAGTTCCCCCCCTGCTCAGCGAGTGGATGTCCGGGGCCCCATTCCGCGTGCGTGAACATGTGGATCCAATATTCCCGAATCGCTGCAAAGTCGGGCACAACGAGGTTGTGCTTCAGCAAGTGAGGAATCAATCGATGAGGGAGGACCACCGGTAATTTCCTGAATCCCAACTAGCCACGACCACACTCTTGGTTACGAATGATATTAGGGTACGGTTACTGGGCTTCAGGGTTTATAATCGAGGGTTCGGGGGCCTAGGGGTTAGGGGCTGATTGTTCGGAAGCTTTACACGAGCACATTCGGCAATCGCCTCATCACCACAGTGGGGTCCGTGGCACTCTTCATCATGGGGACCTCCGCCGTATCCATCGGCACCTGGGTTTAGGTTCGGGCTTTAGGGTTTTAACGTTCCAGGGTCGAGGCTTTATTGTTGGGAATCTTCGGCATCTGAGTCGATCGCCATATCCATAGCTCCATCGAGGATTCTCAACGAATCTCGCTGCAGATTCTGCGGATGTTTCCCAGTAGCACCTGCCAGCCGAAGCCTCTGTGCTGTCCGTGGCAAAGTTCCGCCAGCTGCTTGAAGCTCCTGCATCGACGGGGGATATAACGAGTTCGAGGGGATATTACTAGTACATTGACACGGAGCCAATCCTTATGGGACTCTTCCAAGAACTGCCTGGCTCCGGCGAAGCTGAGGTCCTGGATTGTCGACAGCTGCGAACGGAATCGAGGCAGGTTTGATCTGGATTGGCTTAGCACCGGACCCCTTTACCAGTGCATCGGACGATGTGTCGCCCCAGTGGCCCCAGGTCGTCGTTCATAGATTCTGCGACAGGGGGTTGTGCTAGCTAGAGGTGCATGTTTATCGGCTGCCATTCAAAGCATAAGACCTCTAGAGTGCATTTTCGGGTCCATGTGCTTTGAGAAAGCTTCCCCGGCACATTCGGGGGTCTGGCATCGAGATGCTTGAAATCTGCTAGCCGCCATGGGCCGTGAGACCCAGGTTCCAGCCCGGGCCCACAAAATTTGTGTGCACTTCTAACTGGAAAAGAGCACGAGGATCCAAGCTGCTAGTCTGCTTCTAGAACTAGCAAAGCGGCAACTCGAAATCCCGTAAAAGATGCTGCCGAGCTAACAGGACTCTCTGCTGTACCAGCTTAGCGGCTCTAGCGACTAGCGACCCCCGAACTTTAATTGTAAGCTATCAATCTTAGCCCGGCAACACCTCAACAGCTCGCCAGTCCACGGCACACCCAGCCAGGCGCTCAGCCTTGATCACTTCTTCTTGCCGCCGCGGCCCTTCGCCTTCGCTTTGGCCTTCGGCCCTGCCTGGGCTTGGGATGGCTCTCCTGCACATAGTTATTAATCTTTTGTGTGACCTCGTCCAAAAGCTCCTGAAGCCGATCACCCGAGCCCTTGTCCACCTCAGCCTGCAGCTTGTCCCTGGCTTGCTGAAGGCTCTCTTTGTGGTTCTTGAGATCCGTGAGGAAGCCGTCGCGGATCGGCTGCGACCTGGAATCAAGATTGGACTGGCAGAGGATCTAAAGGCTAGGCTTCAGGGCTTATATTAGGGGCTTAATATCGAGACCCTAGCGTGAGTTTTTTGATTAAGGTAGGGTTACGTATATATATATATATATATATATATATATCTATCTAGTCTAGTCTATCTATCTATCTATCTATCTATTTTTCATATATATATATATATATAGTATATGTATGTCATATGTGCAGTTTGGGCTCTCGGTTGGGATTTGCGATTAAGGGCTTTAGGTTTTGTGATTGTTGCATCAGGGATACATATCCTTGTTCCCGGCGATCTCCTCCTGCAGCACACTCGACTCCTCTAGCTTTGTGGAAGCCAGGGCAATCTTGTTCTTGGAGTGGTTCGTGAGGGCGGTTTTCTTCTTCTTGTCCATGGTTTCCGGTTGGGTTGCCAGGGTCGAGCCTGCCTCCTGATCCCCAAGAGCCAGCGGCAAAGCCATCGAGGACGGCCTGCGTGTGAGGCCGGAGCTGGAACCCGCATTCGAGCCGCCCGGCATTGCAATCTCGAGGCCGTGGGCCATGGTGGTCCTGAGGGGCAATTAATGGCAGTGCAAGCTTAAGGGTTTCGGGGCCCTGAGTTTCAAACCGCAGAAAAACTACATTCTACTATATAGGCACTTTGGATCTTGTGGGTTTGGTGTTTAACTCAGCACAGTGGCATCGCCGCTCGAGTGGCCCCCGCATCGAGCTGCATCTGGTCGGTCTGCAAGGTCGTCGTTTTCGAAGACTTGTCGTTTTTCGTCAAGACCGCCTCCTTGAATGTCCGTACCAACGTCCACTCCTGTCAAGTTTAGGGCTAGAGGGTTGAGGGATATTTAATGTTCAAGAAATAACCACATTTGTTTTGGCAAGCCCCGCCTTACATCCAGGTAAATCAGGGTGTTTCAATATGAAAGGAGGTTCCTGACTGTCCTCGGGAAGGGCGTCTTGGAGGGCCATCTTTGAGCGGTAAATCTCCTCTGCATGCTGGTCCCCCTCTTTGGCCCGTAGGTCACACAATCTCATGTAATGCTCCTCGCCTCGCATGATGTGCTCCACGGTAGATTCTGTCTTGCAGCAGATGCTCGAGCTGAGCCAATCGCCACCAGCTTTGAGGTACTCATTGAACATGTCGTCCAGCACTTTAGAGCCTGGGGGCATCATTTCAGAACACTCATGTACATTGATATATGATAGCAAGAATTCTAGAAGTCGTCCACAAGCTTAGCACCGGTGCCGAAAAACCGTAGAACCTAAGCGGTTCACATTAATATTATATTGCAAGCTTAGGACCGGTGCCTCGCGTTGCCTTGCTGGCGGCTTCTGCAACCTCCGGTGGGCAGTTCGTGCCTGGGCCATCAGTGGCTTGAACCATGCTTTTGAGCCAGAGTATTTAGGGGTTTATTTTGCTTTAGGGTCCTGGGTAGACGGTGAATTGATGATTCATGATCAGATCCACCACACTGGTGAATATTGTGTGATTGATGAAGTTGTTCGGATCTGGTACGGCTATATTTAGACTCTGGGCTTAAGGGGCTTTAGGCGGATGTTAGGGTTTCAGGATTGAAGGCATATATGGGGCTTGAGGCATTCAGAAGTTTAAGGGTTTACGGGTATTGGGGTTTGGGTGAAGAGTCTCTAGGAGTTCTCTAGCGATTGTTGTACATATAGTTGGATGCAATTCGGATCAAGGAGATAGTTCAGGGCTTCAGGGTTTAAAGAATTTGGAGATTTCAGGCTTTACCTAGCTAATAATATCAAAGCCAAGCACTGCGGATGGACCGGTGGAACTTCATGAAGACGTTGTGGGCCACCCTCGTCATCCACTCCTCATTGGATTCGCCTTCCTTCTTGGTAAGCGTCACTTCCTGCCATGTTTCGGGGGTGTAGAGGGTTTAGGGGCAGCGTGATCCCAAAACTGTCCGAAAGGCCTTGGAAGACCCCCACTACCCCTGAAACCAGCCTCGGGACTAGCACCCTTTCCAACGAAACTCGGGTCCTTCAAATCGAAAGAGTTGGGCTTCTCCAATGCCTTGAAAACGGCCTCCGTCCTGGCCCCCGTCTTGCTGCGAGCCTCAACCGGGGCCAGCTGGAGGACCCCTGGATCCGGATGCTGCATGGCTTCCTGCTGCTGGTCGCCTGTTCCCTGCGTGGCTTGATCTGCTTGCATCGTCGGGACCCCTGACTCCAAATCCGGTGCTTGCTGCACGGCTTCATGCTGGTCGCCTGTTCCCTGCGTGGCCTCTGCGTCTGCTTGCAACGGGACCCCTGACTCCGAATCCGGTGCTTGCTGCATGGCTTCCTGCTGCTGGTCGCCTGTTCCCTGTGTGGCCTCTGCGTCTGCTTGCATCGGGACCCCTGACTCCGAATCCGGTGCTTGCTGCGTGGCTTCCTGCTGGTCGCGTGTTCCCTGTGTGGCCTCTGCTAGATTTGCGTCTGCTTGCATAGGGACCCCCGACTCCGAATCCGGTCCTTGCTGCATGGCTTCCTGCTGGTCGCGTGTTCCCTGCGTGGCTTCTGCTTGCATGGGCTGCGAAACCACTCCTTCCATAGCCTGGTTGCCTGTTCCCTGCGTGTCCACCAAGGTCTCCGGAAGCGGGAGCGACGACGGCTCCTGGGCACAGCGGTTCGTAGTACTAGCACTGTGGAGGTTGTACGAGTGCTATAGCTAGCAGCAGAAAAACAAAGTAGAAGTGATAGATATCTAGTATACAGTACTAGTCCTAGTACTAGTACTACTACTACTACTACTACTACTACTACTACTACTACTACTACTACTACTACTACTACTACTACTGCTACTACTGCTACTAGTAGCAGTAGTAGTAGTAGTAGTAGTAGTAGTAGTAGTAGTAGTAGTAGTAGTAGTAGTAGCAGTAGTAGTAGTAATACTAGTAGTAGTAGTGGTAGTAGTAGTAGTAGTAGTACTAGTACTAGTACTAGTACTAGTACTAGTACTAGTACTAGTACTAGTACTAGTACTAGTACTAGTAGCGTAGTACGTAGTAGTGGTACGTAGTAGTATAAACAGCAGCAGTAGCTAGTAGTACTAGTACAGTAGTGTGCTAGCTCTAGATCTCGAATTCGAATTGATTTCGCAACGGCAGCACCAGTGGCTGGCAGTAGTCTAGTTTAACCAAGTCGGTACTGCAAGGCGATTTGGAGGCTTCGAAAGAGGACTGCTTTGGCTTATTAGGTATTGTACAGGGACTAAGGTCTAGGCTTCAATAAGTTTCTGCGATGTTTGCGGATTGGTTGAAACTTTAGGGGCTCAGGATTCAAGCTTAAGCTTACGGGTTGCAGGTTAACACTTTTTCGGCAGCTTCTACGTGTGACGTGGAGTTTCGGGATTAGGGTACCCTGCTCGCATCCAAAGAACCCAGGCCTGTAGAGAGAAGTTTGCCATAGATGCCTCCAGCTCGTCCATGAAGAGCTGCTCGCCTATGTCCTCCTCGATCGTCGTTGTTTGCATCCAACCAAACTCGTTGAACAGGTTCCACTTGCCCAAGAGGGGATCGACTGATTTGTCGATGGCCACGAGTGCAGCCAACTCCGCCCGCTCCAGGTGATCCTGGATCTCCTTGCTCTTCTTGGACCTCCACTGCTCCGTGGCTGTAGCACGTTTGTGCAGTAGGTCCTCGCCCAATTCGCCGTTGTCCAACTGTTGCCGAAGCTTCTGGATCATGTTCTCGGCTTGGTTGTGGACTGCCTCTGCCACGGCTGCGGTTTTGGCCTTCAGAGCCTCATACTCAGAAACCTTTGTCCAAGCTCCGTTGACGAGTAGCATTAAGTACTTTAGGCCATCCGAGTCCATCAGCAAGTCGGTCCTGATGTCATCCTCCATCACAACACCATTCTGCGGATGCCGAGGCAGGGCGTCCTTGATCCAGGACATCATCGGCGAAGCGTCTTGGAAGCGAATAGCTTCTTCAAGAGGGGGCCACTGCTTGTCCTGGCACGGCATGCCATAGTAGCCCTCGAAGATCAACCTCCGGACACCTGTCGAGGGGTCCTCCTCCTCTCGCGGAAAGTCCCCCAGGACTAGAGTGCTTGTTGAGCGAGCCACCGTGGTGAGGCTGTCCGGCCTGCGGATGGGCTGCACCCCGGCCGGCGAAGCTTGGCTTTGGCCTGCATACATTAACAAATTTAGGCTTTAGGGTTTGGGGATTGGGTTTTTGGGTAGGGTTTGGGGATTGGGCAGCCAATATCCTAGAACCATCGTACCATAAGCTACGAAAGAATTCTATGCTAGATGTAGCTGAAATGCAAGCAAACAGCACCAATAGGATCCGGAATTTAGAGTAGATAGTTAAACAACATAGAGAAGCCCAGAGAACATGTGTGGGAATAAGGTTTAGGGTATGTTGACAGTTTAGGTATATATTATTAGGGTTTATTCAAACTATCTAGTTGTCTAATCTAAGCTACTGTACTTGGCAGACACCCAATGCATGATCATGAGACAGCCTGGCAGTTGATCAGGCTTCGAAGCAGAGCTTTCCGGCACCTCCAGCAGGGATTCTGAAATGGGTAGAAACACACCAAAAATCTACATATGGATCTTAGCCCAGTAATTATATTAATGGCCTCGGCGGCATCTTCAAAGAGTGCCCTCCGGGCTTTCTTGTAGTCCGGGCTCTTGACGGGCGTGTAGCCTGGCTTGAAAGGTGTCCCAACTTTGGCAGGGGTTGGCGTAGAACCCGACATGTGCACATCCTTGGCTGGGCTCGGCTTTGGGGAGGCCTTTGGCACAGGTGGGCTCGCCATGGTAACATCATCAGCTGTTGGCTGGCTCTTCACTGCTTGCTTCGTGGGTGTGTTGGGACATTGCTTTATCGGCACCGGCACTTTCGGGAAGCCAGCTTGTCCCGAGGCTGGCGGACGGCCCATGACGGCCAGACTGCTGGTTCTGCTGCCTTCGGCTGGAGGAGGCTTGGCAGCACTCTTCGGCATCTGTACCGGTCCGGGTTGCTTCGGCGTCTGTACCGGTCCGGGTTGCTTCGGTGTCTCTACCGGTCCGGGCTGCACGGGTTGGGCTTGGCCTTTCGAAGTCACGGGCTTCGAGGTTGGAAGTTCTCGCTTCGTCGGCACCGGGGAAGCACCTTTGGTGGGCTGGGTTTAAGGGTTTAGGGATTACGTGCGGCGGGCTTCGGGGTTTAGGGGTGCAGGGTTTAAATATATTGTTGCTACTATTAAGTTAAAGCCCAGATGCCTTTCATGGCTGTCGCCTTCACATCGAATTCCAGGGGAGCGGTAAGGCTTGGAGGCGGAGATGTCGTAGGTTTCTTAGCAGCTGGCGCACCGGCCATGAATGCCGTTTTGCCGCTCATGCGTCTCGTTGGTTTTGCTGCAGCTGCTTGTGTCCCACCGGTGTCTCCGGATCCTGCGTGCAGTGGCTGGCTGTCTTATATATTACAAGTGTGATTACAATACACATATAGTTGTTCGATCATATAAACATCCCAGCCAGCCTGCAGGTGGCATGCCTGCAGCTTTCAAAGCCTCTGCCACCTCATCTGCGATCTTCTTGTGCTTGCCCTGTCCGATAGGTTCGTAGGGATCTCTAGATACCTCTAGAACTCTAGATTAGTTCAGACTTTGGACACGGGCTTGTGGTTATATGGTGGTGCTAGCTTGGTTCGGCTCAATATTGGTAGGGGTGCACGTAGAAGTCGAAGGCATGGGGTTCAGATAATTTGTGAACACGAGGATGTGGCTTCAAAGCCCTGGCCTGTTCCTGATTACTATTCATAACATATACATGTACACCCCTGTATAGTGGACCTGAAGAAGCCGTTCTTCTGGGCTACCGGAAATATTTACAATATCTGGGCTAGCCTTGCGTGTAGGGTTCAGAGATCCTACTATAAACTTAAGTGCATTTAAATGCAATTAAGTTTATAGTAGGATCTCTGAAATTTAGGATTTGGGGATCTGGGTCTTAATGCATTATGTGGGGGCTTAGGTCGGGCTTTAAGGTGCCTGTTGCGGCTGCTCGGGTGCAGCCTGCGTCGGAGTGGCCCCCGTGGAAGCCATGGCACGAACTAACGGCGACTAACGGTTACTAACGGCCCAAAGTGTTCCAGAGACCCCTTTGAACGCCAAATAACGCTTCCTAACGGCCCTGCCCGAACCTCAACTCACGGCCCCTAACGGCTCCTAACGGCCAAAAGTGGTCCAGGGAACCCTTTGAACGCCAAATAACGCTACCTAACTGCCGTGATTTTGCACACCAACACAACTCACGGCCCCTAACGGTCCCTAACGGCCAGAAGTGCTCCAGAGAGCCCTTTGAACGCCAAATAATGCTCTCTAACGCCTTTGGTGGTTTTCTGCAAGTGAACCCTGTGTTTGCAGCAGGGACTGCTCACAATTTGAGCAAATCAAGGCCTCGCGTCACATGCTTAACGTACAGCAGGCAGCCCTGACATGTGCGTGAGGCCGATCATGTGCAGGATCGAGCTACATGCAAACCCCAAATTAAATATATACAGCTAATTAAAAAGGATTCCAAAGTACCTTTGCATGGTATCGAATAGGGAATACTCTTCCAAACCACAAAAGCAAACCCTGCAATACTTAGGACCCTGAGGGAATTATGCATGTACACTTGTACATGCATAATTCCCTCAGGAATAGCATGTCGTCGGATTATCTCGATCATCCACATCCACGGCTTGGGTCTAGACCTGCACAATAGCCACATGAACTGTTTTCTCCGGCCGGTGCCAGTGATACATGCCGATGTGACACATGCATCTACTGCTCTAGATTCTCTAGATCTCCAGGGCAAGCCAAGCACCAGCTAGATAATTTTAGCTACATCAATGTACTGTGTAGACTGCATGCAGAGGACGAATGCCCCAAAGCTTGCCAACGGTTCAGCCAACCTGTATTCTGGAAGAGGTTTTGTGGTTTGGTTCGGCCGATACCTCGATCCACTGTGGCTGGGTGGACATGTACATGTGTAGTTAAATTTCACTATAATTACATGTGTCTCTCAGCATGATCACTTCGAGGGCCATAGCGACCAGTACATATACTCCAAATGTGTTAACCGACTGAATGGGCCCTTGAAGCCGATCACTCTCCAGCCGCCTTTGCAAACATGAGGCGTCGATTGCATCGACAGCCATGCACCTCAATTGCACGTTGTGTGGCTTGGGGATTAGGGCATAGGGTTCTGGGTTTGGGGCTTATAAAAGTAGGGCATTCGGTTTAGGGTTCTGGGTTTGGGGCTTTTCGGTTTCCACTAAATACACATAGTTTCGCAGAGAAATAAACATTATGTGTGTATATATATATATACATATGTATGTATCTCATATCAATACAAATATATATATATATATATATATATATATATATATGTCTATATATATATATATATATACATATTAATATATATATATATATGTATATATATATATATATATGTATATATATATATATAGAGAGAGCAATTCAGACGTACAAATATAGTATTTGCGACAAAATACTCCAAACAGAGAATCTATGATGAGGCCGATCTAGATCAGTCAAGACTCGACTGGCCCGGTTGGAGTCAGCAATGAATAGCCAGGTTGTCCATTCTAGATACCCAGCAGCCTCGGATCGAAGTTTGATTGGCTCTATATAGGTATATTGACCCAACTATATAGGTATATAGACCCAACTTCTTATGATCTACTTGTGGGGGGTGGGGGCTCTTTCGAGGTTTTCTTTTTGAAGGTTTGAACTTTTCAACTATGCACGAGATTCCATCTCCATTAACGTAACCTATATATATATATATCTATGTATATACGTATATAGGTACGGTTGGGTAGTTAATTTTGACGACTACAATATAGGTATATTAGACCCCACTAGGCCCCTAGGAACCCCTATGTACCACATTCGAAGCCAGCTGCTCAATGAGCTCAAACAACAGCAGAACTGTTTTTCATGACTTCTTTTGTTGTTGAAATTGAAACCGCTGTGTTATCAAATTTTGGTTGCTGTTTTGGATTGATGCAAATGTGTTTGGGCGGATTTCATGGAATCTTGCTGTCAACCGACAAACATGGAAACAAATTTTAAATCTTTGGGTTTCAGAAAGCCTAAGGTATGAAATATGAAGCATACAAAATTAGGTCCAGAATAGATTTCTTGTTCTTGGGCAACAAATAATTATTGTCTTGTTCCAACAGCAGAGAGTTTTAGTTTCGTATTGAGATGGAAACCAGTAGAAAGATCCGAGGCACAAGAAGCAACAAGAACCCTAACCCCAGCCCTAAACCTGCACGTCGCACCCAAACATTTTAAAGAGAGAACCAAAAAGCTTCAGAGAGAGAGCGAGGTTGGGGTTCATGTGATTGGGGATAATGTTTTGGGGTAGAGGGCAGGGGTGCGGGGGGGGGGTGGGGGCAAGGGACAGGAGGCACCATGCAGAGGGGAACCTGGGGCAGGGGCAACGGACGAGAGTGAGAGTGGAGAGAGCAAGAAAGAGATAGAGAGAGAGAGCGACAGAGAGAGAGAGAGAAAGAGAGAGTGAGTAGAGACAGACACAGGGAGAGACAGACAGAGACAGAGCGACAAAGCCAGAGTGAAAGAGGGAAAGCAAAGAAAAAGAGAGAAAGAGAGAGAGAGAGAGAGCGAGAGAGAGTGACAGAGATAGAGAAAGACAGAGAGAGAGAGAGAGAGAGAGAGAGAGAGAGAGAGAGAGAGAGAGAGAGAGAGA